TATATATATATATATATAAAATAACTTAAAGAGTTAGAGTTTTTATTATACATTCAAATTAGGTTAGTTAAGAAACAACTTAAGTGTTAATACTTCTTTGTTTCGGCTTTTCGTTTGAAAATTCTCCATGCCCTATCTATGTGTTAATTATATTATTTATTATTGGAACAAAATGAAGAAAATGCAGCCAATTAAGTATTAGAGCGCTATCATATGCTAATTTGAAGTAAATTAGATTAATTTATATGTTTTAGGACTTTTTTGTCTTACAATAGTTTAATGTACCTAGTAATATTGAAATCACCCAAGTATTATAGTAAAATATATAATTAAACTATTTAGATAACCTTTGAGAGAATATAACTTAGTAAGTAGTATAAATAAAATAAATATATCTAACTTCTAGTTTCTTTTCTTTTTTTTTTCTTTTTGCGTAGATGCCATTTGCGCATTAAAGATAAGAATAAATTAATTTTTATTAATATTTATCCTCATTCGTCTAATATTATTTATTCGATTTTGCAAGTTAGGTGCGTATGGCAGCCTGCACTTGAAAATCTGGTAAACGAGAACTTCGAGAAGAGAGCACAGGAGCGGATAAACGGATTAATTCACATCATATTGGTAGGAGAGGTGACATCAGGCCTGATTGGATACGTGAAAATGTCTAGAATCAGCTCTTGGCGAAGTGGAACACCCCTGAGTGGGAGAAGACGAGTGAACATGCAAAGTTAAACAGAGCTTCTACTAAGGGTGAAGTGTTGCATACTAGAGGTTCTATTAGTTTTGCAGCCCATCGATTGAGATTGATAATTTCATTATAAAATATTCTTAATTTTACAAGTATGCAAATTGAATACACACATATATATATACTTCTTAATTTTCAGAAAAAAAGAACGCGGGGGAGATGTGACTTATGCTGAGGTCTTTGCGGAGACCCACAAAAAGAAGAAAAAGAAGAAGGCACTACAAGAAAGTATAGAATTTGCAACAACGTTTTAGCAACAACTAAAATATTGTAGGCTAAAATTAATAAATGGCAACAACTCGATTTAGATAATAAACTTTAAATTTTGTTAATTTGGCAAACATGTTAATTTTGTTGCCATATGCTATGATTTAGATAATAAACTTTAAATTTTAAAAATGACAACAACGTTCTAGCAACAACTATAGTATTGGTGCCCAATTTTAATAAATGGCAACAACTAATTTTAGTTATTGCAAAAAATAGAATTTTTAACATAATAAAATTAAATTATAAACAGAATTGGCAACAATAAAATATTTTTGTTGGCAATACACATTAAATTGCAAATGAGATGCATGGATTGTGGCCCAAATCTTTCCAATTTTTCGCCACAATCAAACACGGCAAACCAAAAGCCTTTTAATTACTTTTCCCGGATTTTTAGCCCACTCTCTAGTAACTATTCTTGCTAGGGTTTTTATTATGAGTTCTAATTCAAAGAGCTCCTCCCCTGTTGCGTCCTGTTGCTGCTAATCGAAGAAGAACGGTAAGAAGACATGTTGCTGCTGATCGAAGAAGAACGGTAAGAACTCTATTTTCAATTGCTTTACCCGATTGCTGCTACACTAAATTATGAAAATACTAATTTCTGTGATTGTCATTTATCAGTGAAGTACTTAATTGGGTATGGGCATCTTAAATTCTTCTACGTCAGAGTAGGATTTGCGCTTTTTCTCCTATAATTCCATATGCTTCAGAAAGCAACTTTGCATAAGTTTTTTGTTTTATTGTTGTCCAGATTTTTGTTCCTTGCATGAGTTTTTTGTTTTAAAGTTTGTCCAGATTCTTGTTCCTTTTTTTAATGGACCTTTTTCTATTGTTGGCATAACATGAATGTGAAATTATTTCCTCGTAGGATTCTCTGATAAGAGATTGGATTGAAGGTCAACAGTTCCACACTTTTAGTTTTAAATACCAATTTCATGAGAAGTTTATCTATTCCTTGTTATTTGTGGTAATTGGATCTGTTTGGTCATGGAAAGTTTGCTTTATGTCCCCTGTCCAATTTTGGTTCTTTTAATATTTTATTCATGTATATGGCTATTCATTGAATCCAAAGTAAAGTAAATTTTGGATTAATCGTCAGATGCATGAAATTATTACTAAATTCTGGTTGTAATACAAGTAATTTACAATTGTAGATGATTTCCAACTTTGGGAAGAATCATTGTTTTACTAAGTATTTATATTATTTTATTTTTTGAGAAAAGAAAAATCTTAGATAATTAGTACATCATTCCCTTACACTCTGTTAACATCTGAGAGAGTGTGAAAGAAAAATATTTATACAATCATAGCTGAATCGATTCGCCTTGAAATTTTTATTTTTTAAAGAAGAGCACATACTCTGTCTTAGACATTAATACTTCCCTGACTCCCACTAAACATGAGTCTCAAAGTGGAAATTCTGTCTCCCTAATATACATAGCTAAAATTGAAACTTTTGTTTGCCTAATATTGTCCAATAATATCCAAATTTGCTCTAATGATTTGGCGTTCCAGTTCAACTCAAAGTCTTATGTTTCTAAGCCTTTCTTTATTATGTTTTTTTCTGATATAATAGATAATAAGAAATAGAGAGAGAGTTAATCATATAATTTTATATTTATAATTTATTATAGGTTAGTACATGATGGATAAGAGCTGGATACTCATTAAGAATAGGACGTTACCTCAATACTTGAACGGTGTGGAGTTTTTGACCTTCGCATTTTCTAATCCTAATGTTGGTGTAAGAATTCAATGTCCATGTGTTAAGTGTAACAATGTTTTTTGGAAAANAGTCTACGGGATTAGAGTACAACCATCCTTCAGCCGTCCACCAACAGTGTTATTCACCGGGGCATTAGTTTCCCAAGAAGACATGGAAGCTATGCGTCAAAAAGTGGATCAAATGTCGCAATAATTTCAAGCAACTGAGGATTTGATCCAAAAATTGTTAAAAAAGAAAAGCAAGAAAGGCAGTCAAGCTGCAATGGAGTCTGAGTCTGAGTCTAAGGAGGAAACTGAGCCTAACTAGGATTAGCTATTTAAATATTTTAGAGTTGAAGTTAGAGACATGTTTAATTTATGTTGTT